TTTTGTTTGTTTGTTTGTTTTTGTTTTGTTTTGTTTTTATTTTTCTTTTTTTTTTGCTATGAAAGAAGCAATGATTATTGTTGCATATCTTTTCTTTTTCTGATTTGTACAATAACGGATATAGCATTCACCTTTCATTACTTTTAAAAAAATTCTCTCATTTTCATATATACATATATATGTATATATAATATTTAATTCAACACTGTTAAACTTGAGCTGTTCATTATAGAAGGGGTCAGGAAAGAGCATAACCCTTCAAGGACAGATCTGCAGATAAAAAGATCAAATGTCGAGCTTTGGGAAGACCCACTAAATCCGTAATTTAAAATATTATTTTGCTTGTATTTCAATTTCAGATCTTATAGAGAAATATATATATAAGTATTTGGTATAATGGTTGGAATTAGATACAATAGCACTTGATAAACAGAATGTAACACATACTTAATCTATTTGATATTTTAGATTTTGTTTCTAATATGAAAAAAACCTCAAATGTTGCAGATGACACAGATGATCCCTTAAATTTTCAGCACCCCACCAGTCAGAAGCAGCAGAGCTTCCAAATCCAAACATCAGTTTATTAGCAGAAACATACAATCAACAGGTTTTTCAGCCTCTTTTACACACCCCACAGCAGCCTATGTGAGCCTCTCCTGCTGTCCCTGTGCAGATCACAGCACAGCCTCATCCAGGAGACAAGTACATCATACACAGAGTGGCTGATGAGTCATTTCTATTTCTCAGCCTGAGCTCACTCAGAGTTTGATATTACATACCATATGGCCACAGCCTTCATAAAAATGGCTTAAAGGAAGTCATCTGATGGCAGAATGGAAATGGCTTTGCAAAGCAGCAAAGCTGCTAATTGATGGGTGGAAGAGCTGAATGTGTTTCCTTCTGTAAAAGGAAAATCTTGTGTGATCCTGGTCTAAGCATTTATTATGGTAGCATGAAAATGTTCTAATTTCTGTTACTGGTGTAAACACTTTAAAAGCCAACACATTAGAAAATAATGATGTGTTTTTCCTGCCTTTTTCCTCTTATTCCATTACTTTCTGCCCAGCAGAATGCAGTGGTTTTTTACCAGCAGATCTACTGCTTCACATAGTTTTCCATTTATTCTACCTTTCGTTGGACTTTGCAGAAATTGCTCCTTATTTTTCTTGAATGTAAACTCTCCTCTTTCTGCATTTCCTGTCCAAAGTTTGTGCACCTCAACTATTATGCAAAGGCTCCTATTTTGTCTAGTTTTATGGAAAAATCCATCTTTTTTTTTTTCATAAAGCACCAAAACCAGGCTTTTTTATGGCTTCCCAATTCAGGTTCTCATAACAGACATGCAAAGTCTGAGAGGCACATTCAACATAGCAGACTTTTGACATGGAAATCTATGTCTTTTTCTAATTTATTTTTCAGTGAATAAGGAAAATTGTGTCTCTGCCCATGGTGGGGGAAGTTGAGACTAGATGATCTTTAAAGTCCAGTTCCATCCCTTAACATTCTCTAGCTGGTTCTCTGACTTATCTGAGGAGTAATTAAGAAAAGTTGAACACGGGTCTTAGGTTGGTCCTTGCAAGAGCCTTTGTGTCAGCAGAGTGAGAAAGGTATTTTGACACTGGTGGAGTGTGGAGGATAGATCCATGTAAGTCATGTTTGCTTGACTGGAGGCACATACAGCATGGATGAGGAAAAGAAGGAAACACCACAATTAACCTGAAATCTCTGTCAAGAGAAGATATGCAGAGAATTATGGTCATCTCAGAAGAAAAGCATACACACTAGGTTCCCTGGCCTGAAAGTCAGCTTTCCAGAACAATCATTAAAGACCATCTCTACTTCTAAGCATACAGGGAAGATTTTTTCTTGCTATCTTTAAAGAACTCCACGTTTTTCTAGAGTAGTCACTTAAATACAACTTGTGCAAACTGGGAATTCTGAACACAAAATAATAAAATAGCTCTATTTGAACTTAATTGCATTGTTATTTATAAAGTAGGGAATAATTTCTTTCAGGGGTTAAGAAAAACAGATCATGTCTGCTGTCACCTAGAAGTGTTTATACTGTTTTTTTTTTTCCACCTGTGAGGCCATGAGAAGCAATTAAAACTCATTCATCAGTAGTCAACAAAACAACTAAAGGTTTAGTCTTTGAGTAACAGAGCCACAATTTCAGAGAAGGTGACCATGGATCTCTGTTCTAGTGATATCCCCTGTCCCAAAAAGTCACCTACAAAAGAACACACTGAGGATTCCTGACCATGAAAATACAGAAATCTGAAAGTTTGTTTTGCCTCAGCCACACAGCTGATACTATTGTTACAGCTGAATCCACCAACTTTGGTTCATTACCAATTTTAGTAAGTTTAAAGACTTTTGGTAAAAGGACCTTACCCTTGCCTTCTGCTCCATTTCCATCATTAATCTTTCATGTTGCTCAGCTATTGCCAGTGTTGCAGAATGGACTTTCTGATATATCATTTCTCCTTCTCGTGTTTGAAAGGTGAACAACCCTTCTCCTGTGTCACACATCCTGCAGGGAGATTTAAGCAGAACAGAAAGAAAAAAAAATAAATACTGTGTGATTTTTAATCTAACTATTATAAAAAGTGCATACCTTACAGCAGCAAATGCCAAATTTAGAAATTCTGTACACCAAACATCTGCAGTTATTTTTACCATTGGAGAGATACATATTCCAAGAGATGGGCAGAACTTCATTAACATATTTTTTAAAATTCAGTTTTAATTATCATCTGGATAGTGAAAAAGAAGCTTTAGCATGGATTAAAAACTTGAGGCAATAGAGTCAGTTTTTTCTGTCATTTTTCCCAAATGTCTGCATCAGTAAGTGAGAGCTGAATTTAATTATTTTAACCAATTTATGCCAGAAATATGTAGCACATTGTGACTTTGAAAAGCTGACATTTTATGAGAATACTGACCAACTGAAAATGTCATTATGGGTAATCACTACAAAGATGATGTATTGAAATATGGCATTAAAATGGTTAAATTATCACTACCTCTGTCAGTACATTTATGTGGGGCAGCATCCAAAGCTGGTAATTAAAAAAGCCATTCAATCCATTTGAGAATATGAAACGTTTCTGTTGTAAAAGAAGACTATATATTGAAAAAACCTTACAGAAATAAAATTTGCTTTCTTCTTTTGAGAGAGCAACTGCTGTTATTCTTATCTGTGATATCAGTGTGGCATTATTCTGAGAAAGAAGTGTGGTACATAGTAAATACAATGACAAAGAGGTCTGGGAAATACAGGAAATAGGAGTAGGAAATAATGTTAGATTGCTGTGTAACCATTACTTGGAGGACATACATGCTGCTAACCAGTGGTGCAATTCAATGTATTTATATTAGTAGTTCCATTATATTATCAGTATCTGATTTACATATTTTTTATAGACTACTTGCAGTTTTAGCAATGGAATTTCAAATATACTTTTTATTTGGTCTGATACCTCCTGTAAAGATTTTCAGTTATCTGTGACAGAAAACTGTTGACTTGAGTCACTGACGCATAACATGCATCAACAATGGAGAGATTTTGATTTGCCTTAAAATATCAGATTCCTTTTAAGGCTTTGGATGTTTACATTATTTTTAAGGAAATCAAACTTCGTTAATATCCCAGCACTTTCAGCATAGTCTCAGAAAGCCCAAAACATACAGAATTTTAAACATTTTAGAAAAATGTGTCCCAAATAGTTCAATATTCAAACAGAATTTTAAATAAAATCTTTAGAATTTTCATCCCAGATTCTGTATGAATTCCCAGATTCATGCATTAAATTCTACAAAAAAAATTCTATCAAATAAACATACAGATCTATATTATTTTAATTAAATAATAATTTAAATATGTGTCCTACTATATTACATGCACACACACACAATTATACTGCAGTTTTTTGAAAAGACAATACTTTTTTTAATGAGACTTGCCTATTTTTCAAATTAGAATATGGTTTCCTAAACAATTTTATTTAAAAAGTCATCTGAACAGGACTCTTGTGCTATATAGGGGACTGCTGAGAGTTCCGCAGTTGCTTCTGATTTCAAGGTTGACCAGTGAAAATAAAAGCTTATTAACACTTACAAAATCTTTTCCTGTTCACTGGAGGAGACAGGCTACTGAGAGCCTTGTACAAAGAATTTATGCATGTCTGTGTTTGGGAGGAACAGAAAGTATCAGAGGCAGAAACAGTAAACAGAGGGGCTTCTGGAAAATACCTGGTGAAAATACTTTGTAATGATCAACTAAGGTATTGAAAAGAAATTCATAGTCTTAAGACTATATGATTAACAATATAATCCATAATTCTGGAATAATACTAGTTTTTTTCATTTAGAAAATAAATAAAATAAAATCAATTTTATAAATAGCTATTATTTAATCAGTGTTAATGCGATATGCTAATTAAGAGATTAAAAAAAGAGCTTTTTATATTAAATTCCAATGGAGATCAAGATCCCTGCTGTAAACATTTAAGATATATTATATCCTTAGACACAGTCCTCCAAAGAGCTTCTGGTGGAAATAAAATGTCCCCAGAGTTTTGTGACATTATGGCAACAGCCTTTCAGATCCCTCAGGGCATCATATAGCCAGTACTCTGCTTTTGTGTAAAGAGATCTTAATAAAATTCAAACAGCGTGAAATGGAAAGTCTGGAAAAAAGGATGGGGTTTCAGAAACTGAAGGAAAATATGAGCTTTTTGTTGGTTTCAGAGGATGAAAAATCCTACAGAGAGAAAAACAAGGAAGCAGGCAATGGGGCATGATTAATGTTCAGGACTTATCTGCCTGTTTTCACCACGCAAAACCCAACCACCCCCACTGCCTACCAGAGCAGGGTTTGTCCCTGGTGGAGGCACTGGTGCAGGCTGTGGCACTGCCCTGGCCCTCACCCACTGCACAGGACACTGCTCTGCTTCCCAGCCTCAGCTGCTGGATGTCACACCAGTGTTGGAAAGCCATTGCCACCAGCCTCCCCATGAGGGCTACCCTGGCTAATGATGGATGGTACGCACACAGACGCTCAGAACTGGAGGTGAAGGAGAATTATAGGCACCATTTTTTAAAGTGCTGAATTCCCCTAGCTCGACTTGAAGTTTAATAGGACTTAAAGCCCCAAAGAATGAAGCAGTTGTTACTTGGCACATTTGAAACAGGTGAAAGCAGCAAAAATTGTTAGCATAAAACTTTCTGTTTTTCCATTAAAACTTCTTATGAATAATCTGTCTCCCACGGAGATGAATCCCTTTGCCATAGTAAAGCTTTCTTGTTCATCTCTTCAGAGAATTATTCCTTTACTCAGGTGAAAATCTGAGTTTAGACCTTCTAGTCTACTCCAGTCTAGTCTGGTCTAGCCCAGTCTAGTCCTGTCTATTTTTGTGTTCTCTTCTATTCTAGTTATAAAACAAGATCAGTATCCTCGTTAAGGTTAGTTTCAGTCTTTCTAGAACAAGGAAATATTACTAGAATAGAACTCCTAAGAATATGAAGATAGGGAAAGGGTGCTCTCCGAAGCTTAAGGGTTTTGCCATAAAAGCAAAACCTTTCCATATCTGGCCAACAGGAACAGACAAGCTCATTAGCTAAAACAGGACTTGTCTTGCTCTATTTATAGTCCAAAAAAAGTCAGTAGAACAAAAAGCTGTTATCTCTATGGCCCTTATAGATGCCAGATAACTGTCCCTATAAAGCTCCAATTTCAGGTTTAGCCTTGCTAATGTGTTGTTAATTTCTCTATGTTCCAAGCATACATGGTTGATCAGTTGCCAATTTAATAACATTTTCGTAACTTTTACATGCCCTAAAATCACTTTTGATAAAAGGCAGGACAAAGGTCTAGGCCTCTTTATCCCTGGTACTGTTGCAGTTAAGCAATGCAGCCCTATCAACTCAGTATGACCTTCACTGTCAGAAAAATGTCACTGATTTTGTATACTTTATTTTTTTTATGAGATACTTGCAGTCTGCTGGTGCTTGAAAAATGCCGATCTATTTCTGTGTTTTTCAACTTTAAAACGGGGATGTCATTAACCTATGCTTTACGATATTTAAGGATTCAATGCATTAAAATGTATGAATTGCTTTGACTGAAATAGGAAAGTGCATTTTTTTTCATACATTATTACAGAATGATATAACTGGACAGACAGTGACACCACTAGATAAACAGTGCAGCAAATAGTTGCAATTTTAAAAATTATTTTAATATTGCAAGGCTTTTCACAACTGTCCCCATTAGCAAATCTGGCTTAAGAACCAGGAGAAAGAATACAGAAATTGTGAGAGCTCAGCTTTTGGTCTAGGACAACCTGGATTCAGAGATCAACAGTGAAAGTTCTTGCTTTTATTGGAGGTAGGATTTCTGTTCAAGCCAAAGAGATTTTCCCACCGCTATTGACAGACATTTTTCAATATTTCCCAAATTCATACAATGGTTTTCCACTGCCTTTGCTTACTATTTAACTTCAGCCTTTTAGATAAGAATCAATACTCTATATTAACCATGTAGAATTCCCTTCAAAAAGGAAACTTAGTTGACTTGAACACCATTTACAAAACGTACTTTTTCCCAGACAGAAGTTCATGCTGTCATGTCATGGGTGAAATATTTTAAAAGTTTAACAGTGCAATATTCAGCAGCTGCATGAGAAGAGAAGAATTTGACGTATCAGCTTCGCTATTTCCATTAGGGGTAAAATGTATTTTCACAAAAATAAAGGTTGAATGAAAACTAAAATTCCCCAAGTAGAGAATCTTTAGCTCTTCATATATCTACGTTTAAATTTTAACGAATTTGACTGATTTCTTTTGATCAACAAATACTTTAGGATTAAAGAAATAATGGCTGATTTATATACTCAAAAGTGTATCAAATTACATACAAATAATGAAGAAGAGGTAAATATCATCAAATAGAAACTGAAAAAATAATTAAAATTTTTACTATTAATATATAATTGCTATTAGTAGCTATAGATATTAATAAGTAATAGGTAATAAATAACTATCCTACTTTAGCATTTCTAGTCTTGGAATAGAAATAGACTTTAAATTCTTGAATGAGAACAGATCATGAGTATGCATTATCCAGTAACCAGTACCAAACTGGATGTAACTGCTGTTGCATACTCCACAGCTAGAGTCTGAAATGTGGTTTCATTAAAAGAGGTGTTTACTCAGACACTTTGGGCCTTTTGGAGGCCCAAAATTTAAGTTAATAGAATCACAGAATCACAGAATTGTTACAGTTGGAAGGGACCTCTGGAAATCATCTAGTCCAACTCACCCTTTCAAGGCAGGATCGCCTAGAGCAGGTAACACAAGAACTTGTCCAGGCAAGTTTTAAGTCTCCAGAGAGGGAGACTCCATGACCTCCCTGGCCAGCCTGTTCCAGTTCTCTGCCACCCTCAATGTAAAGAAGTTCGTCCTCTTTCAAGAGGTGAAACTTCTTGAGTTTCAGTTTATGGCCATTTGCTCCTTGTCCTGTCACTGGCC